AGAAACCGGAGCATGGTCGCTGACAACTATGGGGTGTATCTCAGTGTCTGAAATTTCAGCCAACAATGAGCTGCTGACTAGAAAATAATCCAAACGTGAGTGAGAGTGATGGACGTGCGAAAAAAAAGTATACTCTCTACGGTTAGGATGAAGAGATCGCCATGCATCACAAAGCCCATAATCACTCATGTACTGTTTAACTATGTTAGTGGATTGCCAATTGCGCTGAGTCCCAGCTGTACTGAGCCTGTCTGTTAAGGAATTCATCCAAAAATTAAAATCACCTCCTAGTATAAGTGGACAGTCCAAGTGTTCGGAGAGTACAGAGAAAAAATTATGAAAGAATGGAGGATCATCAATATTTGGACAGTATATGCAGACGATACATAAGCGTTGGTTATGTACATATATTTTTAACATTATAAATCTACCCTCTGGATCAGAAACTGTGTCCAATACTGTGAAATTGATGTTTTTGTGTATTAAAATAGGTACACCTCTTTGCCTAGAGTTATAGCAGGCAGAGAACATGCTGGGAAACTCAGGTGTTTTAAGTTCATCTGCGGATGTGGCAGATCTATGAGTCTCTTGTAACAATATTACGTCTGCTTGCACTGATCAAAAATCTTTAATCTTTTCTCTATGGAGCCAGCTCCATGTACGTTCCATGGGACAAACCTTAGTGCACCCATAGATGTGTGTGTGAGTAGCTAAAATATGATGCCTTCATGTGAATAAGATGGAATAAGTATATAAATGTATAAATAGTATGTTAATAAATAACAGAAAAGTAAATAATAATAATAATAATAATAATAAAGATCCAACAGTGTTTGTGGTTCTATTATTTGACGCATAAATTATGATATTGTGCTGTGAATTTAATATATGTGTGTGTGTGTGTGTGTGTGTGTATGTATGTATGTATGCGTGTGTGTGTGTGCGTGTGTGTGCGTGTGTGTGTCGAGTCTGACGCAGTGTTGGAAAGTTGTGTGGTTGTGTCATACAGGTGTAAAGGTACAGAAGCAGGTAAAAAGGAAGGGAAAATACAGATATAGGTTAAAAAAAGAAGAAAGAACTAAAAAGAAGAGGTGATGGGGTGTAAGGTGGTGAAGGACAGGTGATCTTATCATCTACTAAACGGATTTAGCAGCTGTTTAATCCTGACGTGATCAAACCCAGTGAATCCTGATAAGAATAGTAAATGTCTGACCTGATGTTGGGCTAATACAGCCAGTCAGTCACTCCTCGCTCCTTGTAAAGTTTATTGTCCACATAAAGCTTATCCACCGTGATGACAGCTCTCTTCCCATCCTGGATAAACTTTTTACGCAGCGGAAAGAGAACTCTGCGGCGATCCAGAATCTCCTTCGGGAACTGATCATTCACGCTGAAATCTTTTCCTTTGAGCTCTCTTCCGTGACTTTTAACAAGATCTTTCTGCTTAAAATGTTCAAATTTAGCCACGATGGGACGAGGTCTTCTGCTGTCCACTCGTCTAGCTCCAAGGCGATGTACCCGGTGAAATGTGATGTTTTTTATCGTTTCTTCTGGAATCTTCATTTCTGTCTGGAGAAAGTTCTTGATTGTATGTTCGCAGTTCTCCGCCCCTCCCGTCTGCTCCGGCAGACCTGCGAACACCAGATTATCCCTCATGCTGCGGGCCTGAAGGTCCAAAACCGTCTCCTTCAGAGTTTTGTTGTCCTGGGTGATCCGCGTCATTCCCTCTTCCAGGGAAGAAACGGACTCCCGCAGAGACGCGTTCTCAGCAGCGAGCCGCTCAACCTGCTTCTGGCTGAACTTCAGAGATGTTCGGAGGTTCTGAAACTCCTGGTGAAGAACCTCGAGCAGATGAAGTCGCCCCTCAAATCCCAGAAGCCGTTTATCTATAGAATCTAATAATTCTAATATATCCTTACGGGGAGATGAGGCCTCAGGCGAATCCTGAGGACGGCTCCTCTTGGTCCCAGCAGGTGTTTCAGCCTCAGCTGCTGATTTCTTCGGACCCATGACGAATAACTCAAAAACTTCGTCAATATAATTTAACAAACTTTCTGAATTTTCTTCACTTACCTCCAGATTGAGTGAGTTATACTTACCAGATTATTTTTTGCGTTGTCAGTAAATAAATTAGGCGAAAATGTGTCTTAATTGTTTGTGGATGTTTGTTAAAGAGCAAGTCACCCCCAAATCACATTTTTTTTGCTGATAAACTACATAAAGGAGTGTCTAATCATGCTACAGACACGTGTAGTCAATAATTTGGCAGTTCAGTGTATCTTGGTTAAAATTCAAATATTCTGCCTAAAACTGTCAGTGTTGCGCTGTCGTCAGGGAAAAACTCTGCACTGTATTTGAATTTAAATCTGCCACCGCTATTGGCTAAGAGGTATGCTATGATGTCATCTGGTATATTATGATGTCATAATGCCATTGTGAGCCTGTGTGTGTGTGTATTTGTTAGCGGCTCCGCCCTCTCGGTCTGCCAAGCAACAGCATTTGTTGCATTTTTCAAACATGAAGTGGGAGTGGAGTTAGACTCTGGTAGGCGGTGACTTGCTCTTTAACGAGCTGCCAGCAGCTTCAAACGCTGCCGTGTATCCGGTGATCAGCCGTCAGCGCATGCGCATGCTCCTCCGTCCCGTTCCTCCTCGCTCGTTAACTGTTAATGTAAGCAATTAAGAGATCAAAGGAAAAAAGTATGTCTGTTTGTCTGCCTATCTTTCTCTGTGTGTGTGTGCTCATGTGTGTGTGGATGTCTGTGTGTATATGGGTGTGTGTGTGTGTGTGTTGTTTATGTTTTCTCGTGTGTGTGTGTGTGTGTGTGTGTGTGTGTGTGTGTGTGTGTGTGTGTGTGTGTTTGTGTGTGTATGGGTGTGTGTGTATTGTTTATGTTTGCTTGCGTGTGTGTGTGTGTGTGTGTGTGTGTGTGTGTGTGTGTGTGTGCGCGCGTGTGCAAGTTGTGTGCTGCAGTGTGGAAAGGGAAAAAAAATTGTGCCATGCAGATGTAAAGACCCAGAAGCAGATAAAAAAAAGGGAAAGAAATGAATTATAAAGGTTGAAAATAGGATAAAAGAAGAAAGAAAAGAAAAAGTGTTGTGGGCGTGAAGAGGTGAGGGAACAGGTGAACATTTCTAAACGGATCTAGCAGCTATAAATCCAGACATGTTGGAACCCAGTGAGTGCTTTTAATAACAATAAAGTTGTACCTGAAGTGTGTCTAATAAAGCCAGTCTGTTACTCCTCGTTCTTTGTAGATCTTACCGTCAACAAACAGTTTATCCACGGAGATCACAGCCCGCTTCCCATCCTGGATGAACTTCTTACGCAGCGGGAAGAGAACTTGGCGGCGATCCAGAATTTCCTTAGGAAACGGGTCGTTAACGCTGTAGTCTTTACCTTTAATCTCTCTCCCGCGGCTTTTAACAAGATCCTTCTGCTTAAAGTGCTCAAATTTTGCCAGGATGAGACGAGGTCTTCTGCTGTCTGTTCTCCTGGCTCCAAGGCGATGTACCCGATGAAAGGTGATGTTTTGAACCGTTTCCTCAGGTAACTTCATGAGGGTGTGGAGAAAGTTCTTGATGGTTTGTTCGCAATCCTCCGCTTCTCCTCCGTTCTGCTCTGGGAGGCCTGCGAACACCAGGTTGTCTCTCATGCTGCATGATTGGAGATCCAGAACCGTCTCCTTTAGAACTTTGTTGTCCTGGAAGATCCAATCTAATCCTGCAGTCAAGGAGGAAACCGATTCCCGCAGAAACGCGTTCTCAGCCGCGAGCCGCTCCACCTGCTCCTGGCTAAACTCCAGAGATGTTCGGAGGTCTTGGAACTCCTTGTGAAGCACCTCAAGCAGGTGGAGCCGTCCCTCAAATCCCAGAAGCCGTTTATCTATGGACTGTAGTAGATCTAAGACATCCTTATGGGGAGATGAGGCCTCGGGCGAGTCCTGGGGACGGCTCCTCTTGGTCAACGGCGTTTCCGCCTCAGCTGCTGCTGCTTTCTTCGGTCCCATGACAAAAATCTCAAAAACCTCGTCAATATATATTTGCAAATTTTCTAAATTTTCTCCACTTACCTCCAGATTGAGTGTGTTATATTTACCAGATTTATTAATTTTTTTGCGTTGTCAGTGAGTAAATTAGGCGAAAATTGGTCTTAATTGTTTGTGGAAGTTGATTAACAAGCTGCCATCTGCTTCAAAACGCCGCCGTGTGTCCGGTGATCGGGCCGTCAGCGCATGCGCATGCTCTCTCCCTGCGAATGCTCTTTTTCATTAGCATTTTTAAGAAAGGCTTTCCTTCAATCAAGTTAATTCCTGAGCTAGTTGGTGTTTCAGCAGAAAGCCACAACACACGTCTCCTCATGTGCTTTCAGATAAGACGATGGCATCTGAGCACAAATGATGGTGTCTTGTTGTCGAAGTAAGGCCCAGTGTATTAGAGCTTGGTTATTTGGGTTGAATGGATGACCTTGTTGGGTATAAAATGCTAATGGAGCAACGATAAGGCTGAAAATGAAGGTGGAAGTCCATAAACTTCTCATGTGGACAGGAAAATTCATGGAAAACGTGCGGAAACGATACCTATGACAGTGAAGTTGATCTCATACAAACTGTTGTCTTGTATGAGTTACAGTTAAGAAGTGTCTCAGATCTAATGAATAATATCTTTTTTTGTTGCCACCTGTAAAATGTTGAGCTGTTTAGTCACTTTGGAGATTAAAAACAATCTAAATCTCCATCTTTTCTCTTGGGATAGTTTCACAGTTACAGGACTTAGATGAAACCAGTCTGAAAGAATGTCATTGTTGACTTGAATCATTTTCAAGGCTACATGGCAGATTGAGAGTGTTGGTTTCCTCCAGAATTCTGCAGTCAGCATCAAAATAATGACTTCTTGGTTAAATTCTCCTTCAGCTGTCTTCATCACTAACTAAATAATTAGATAATGAAATGAAAAATGTCTGAAATTCTCTATTAATGGACATTTGAATTGTCTTTCCAGGTTATGGGGTACTGGTTCTTTGGTCCCACCTGGTGCTCCTTCTACCTGGCCCTGGATGTCCTCTTTTGCACTTCTTCCATTGTTCACCTCTGTGCCATCAGCCTCGACCGCTACTGGTCCGTTACTAAAGCTATCAGCTACAACTGCAAACGAACTCCAAAGCGAATCAAGGTGATGATCAGCATTGTGTGGCTCATATCCATCATTATCTCATCCCCCCCGCTCCTCATGATGCAGAAAAACAGTGATTTTGAGGTAGAGGATGGGCATGAGATGAACCGGCAGGAATGTCTGATCAACAACCAAACGTGGTACATTCTCTCTTCCTGTATGGTGTCCTTCTTTGCCCCGGGGGTCATCATGATCCTTGTTTACTGTAAGATCTACCGTGTGGCCAAGCAGCGAGCCACCACTGTGTTTGTGGCAAAGAACATGATGGAGCGGCAGCCATCGCAGTCTGAGACCTGCTTTGTGGGCGCTGCACCAAGCAGCCAAAGAAAGACCAATGCGCCATACGAGCTGGACAGCCCTCGGCCTCCAACCCGGCGCAGATGCTCCAACGTAGACAGCAACAGCAGCAGCAACAAAAGAGGAGAGCTTGATGATATTGATTTGGAGGACAGAAGCTGTGATGCTGATGTGAAAGCATCCTTCTCTTCATCCCTGCGATTCCCCCGGAGAGTTTGTGGGAGGGTAAAAACGGAAGAGGTGAACGATGCAGAGGTAACAGCCAACAAACTTAAACCCCCTCATCCTCCACCTTCCTGCGCCTCCATATCTTGGGCATCCTCTGACCAGTGCTCCCAGAACTTCCTCGTTCCTTCTCCACTGCCTCTGCGCAACAAGCAGATGTCTATGTCCAAAACCAAAGTGGCTCAAATGAGAGAGAAGCGCTTCACCTTTGTTCTAGCAGTGGTGATGGGAGTGTTTGTTCTCTGCTGGTTCCCTTTCTTCTTCACTTACAGCCTCCAAGCGATCTGCAGGGAGAACTGCACCATTCCAGAAACACTCTTTGACCTGTTTTTCTGGATCGGATACTGCAACAGCTGCCTGAACCCCATCATATACACAGTTTTTAACCGTGATTTCAGGAGGGCCTTCAAGAAGATTCTGTTCCACACTCATAAGGGGACGTAGGAGTGTGTGTGTGTGTGTGTGTGTGTGTGTGTGTGTGTGTGTGTGTGTGTGTGAGAAAGCGAGCGAGAGAGAGGGAGTGCACAGTTTAAATCCTGTTTTCCACTGAGCTGTCAAACTGACATTAAAGGGCTTGCCATACAGCTGGAGTATTGATTTATTATTCAACTGCTTACTAATTTATTTAATAATCACTTTTTCTTTCCGAGCGTGAAATGCTTATATGCCAGTTCCATGAAGGCAGGTGCTTCATCCAAGGAAGGCGCCTCTTCCTTGATGCAATCCGGGTTCAACGTTGCATCCTGAATTGTGTCTAAACTTGAATGTTAATTAGGTGAAAATGGCTGCAGGGCAGCAAAGTTCCTCCCCCTGGACCTTCAAGATGTCTGTAGCAAACAGCCCAACTGGCTCTGCAATCCATATATTGACACAAACCAACAAAGGCCACTGGGAGCCGAGTTAAAACAACTGTGCTTTGAATAAAAACACAAATAGTTTAAAACAAACTCCAGTGTCTGAGTGAATAAAGTTCAAGCCTAAACTTCCAGCACTGACATTTAGATGAGCATGCACTGTGAAAGTTACAAGTTTTTTTTTCAACAACAATGTTCCGTTGACACGGCACGGCTTGAGGGCAAAAACATTAAAAATTCATATGCAGCTAACAGTTAAATCCAGCTGCTGCTAACAGGGAAAAGATGACAAAAGATAAAGACTCGGAGAGGAGGGAACGAGAGAGCTTAACCAGACCTCAGCGTTGGAGTAACTACAATCAAACCGGAGCTCATCAGAGGTGGATAATTATAATCTGAAATCAGGATGAAACAGGCAGCTGTATGATTAAAATCTAGCTAAATGTTTCTGGAGAGCAATAAAAAAAATTATGAAGTAGATCTCTGTTTTCACCCAGACCAATTTAAATGGGACAATCTAAGTCTGATCACATTTGTGTGCATTCGTAAAAAGGTCTGGTTCACAGAGAAACTGCATATGTTCTTTTGTAAATGTGACTGGCCACTTTCCGTTGCACATAAGCATGCCGAAGGTGAACATTTTCTTCAGTCCCCATTGCCTACATTAGCAACAGCAAGGAAAAGGTAAGATTGGGTCAGAAAAACCCTGTCTCATCTATGTCATGGAGAACATTTGTATTTATGGAATTGCCCACCTTGACTACACAAGAAGGATGTGTTTGTTTGTTTTTTACTTGGAGAGAGCAGAGCAAATCTTAGCTAGCAGAAGCTAACCATTTACAACTCCAAAACAGAAGAAGAACGAACAAAAGCAGCAACAGAGTAGCGTCAGAGGCAAGACATTAGCACGTCAAAATCCTGCCCCTCCACCCCACACCTCTCCTCTTAAGCCTGATGCACCCATAACTCTGGAACAGAGTACATACGAGCTGTTTTTACAAAACAATGCCATCATTTAGCTGCAACACTGTGGTATCATCAGGGAGTCTTAGGTCGTTTATAAGTGGTCAGACCGCGACGGTAATGTGGAGCAATCGTGTAACCTAGTGAACTAGACCAAATTTTTGCTTTGCAACGTTTGGTCTAGGAACTCTCCATTGGAACCTCTGCAGCCCCTAGCAGCATTCTGGCAGACCAACCACAGCTCTCTAGAGGGGTTTAAACACATAGAGAGTTGTGATTGGTTCATAGTGGTGGGCCAATCATAGTGCTCTATCTGCTTTGTGGGCCAATCAGGGCCCTCTATTCGTCTGGTGGAACAAGATGGCGACAGCTTGTTTGAAAACAGCTTTTACATCAGTTTTGGACTATTTGGACTTGGGCTTTATTAGAATCAGGAGAGATGGATGTATTTAAGTTCTTTTTTTAGAAAAAGGACGTATTTTCACCTTCTTCAACAGTGGGCCGCCTCGTTTACAGACATCCATTGCAGTGAGTACGTCAAATTGTTCATTGTCCACCAGCATGCGGAGATCATTTGAAAGACAATGGTAGAACCCGCCCCACGTCGGAGAGCCGTCAATGGAGTGTTAGACTAAATAATAGATTTATTTAGTCCGACTTGCCAGGCTGGCAAACCGTGTCCTTTTTATTAAAGACTAGGCAATGTCGGCATAAAGGGGGGGGCCCTGTGCTGCCGCAGACTTTCGTTTATCTTGGACATAACTTGCTTTTTATTACGATCAAAGCTCATTAAGTTTTTTTTAACAAGGCGCTCCTGAAGGTGTCTATCCTCCACAGTCCCTGTGCAGTCTCTGGTGATCTGACCTCCAGCGCTCCAGTTTGCTGTCTCAGCTGATCCTGTTCAAAAAAACGAAACTTAGGCCTTTTGTTTTCAATACAGTTGCCGGCCGGAGCTCGGCAGAAACTTCCCATGTGATCATGACCAGTGGCGGCTGGTGAAAAATATTTTTGGTGGGGCTGTGCTACTTTTTTTTAAACAAACTTGTGCTTTCTGAGCTTTGTGCACAACTTCACTATTTCCTGAATTACGCACAGCTCTTTTATTTCCTGTCTTACATTATTGGACAAACTGATTAATCCAGGTGTGTCTGACTATTGGCAAACTGCCTTGTGGACCAAGGTTGAAAAATACTGCATTAAATTGCACATAAAATAACACGACCATAAATGGTAAACAGGCAATGCAAGAGGCAAGTAACAAAAACATTTTGTTTAATTTCAACATTTGAGTGAACACGAAAAATTATGAGCAGGTCACTGTTACAGTAATGGTAGTAAACACCACTTAGACAAAATGCCAGAAATTTACACTGTTAGGACTTATGGAAAGTGGAAACACTTTCATAGGAAATGTCATCAGTATAAGCGTTGTCACGGTATGAAAATTTAACCTCACGGTTATTGTGACCAAAATTATCACGGTTTTCGGTATTATCGCGGTATTTTTTAAACGGTGTTGCATATGTTCAGAAAGCATTGATAGTCCTGTTCTACACAAACTGAAATAGTTTTGAAAAGGTTTAACAGTGTTTATTAAACCTAAAATAACACAAAGCCTTAGCAAAAGTGCAAATTTTCACAAGTAAAGGAACAAATAGCTTCTTTTTCTGGAACATGTTACAGTAGTCAGTGCAGGTTTAAATTATACAAATCCAAACATTCAAAACATAAACAATATGTAAACAAATCAAAGAAACACCACTTGTTTTCTCATATACTTGTTTTCTTCATTATCAAAATGAAAATCTAAAACTCCAGTCCACACTTGACTTGAGCGCTGTACAAGTCAACCTTAAAAAAAATATGTATTTAAAATAAATAGCCACTTTAAACAAATTACTAAAATAACTACTACACTATGTAATCAAATCCAAATGTTCAAGTATAAATGGCATTGAATAAGTAAACAAATCAATGACAAGGAACTAATTGTATATTTCTCTTCATCATCAACAAATAAGATGCTTCATCCAGCAACAGGGTGTCCGTGACACGGTTTAAATGCTGGCAGAGGACGCTGCGGCTGCAGTCTATAGTGACTCGTTGCATTCTCCCTCAACCAAAAGTCCTCACGTCATGCATTTAAGCTAAAATGCTAATGTTAACTTACCTTGCACTGGCTGTAGAGACGTGGGTGATGGTCACGCAGATGTGCCATTAGATTCGAAGTGTTGCTGCCTTTTGCAGACACTTGTTTCCTGCACGTTCTGCAAACGGGATAGCAGTCTTCTATTAAATGTCCCTCAGCATTTTTCAGAAATCCAAAATATGCCCATACTTCCGATTTAGTCTTCTTTGAGGGCTGATGGATGTCCTGGGCGCTGCCGTCTCCTCCTTCGGCCATTATTTCAGCTTCAAAGTTTTGGTTGCAAACTAAAAAGTGCGTGTGCGCGGGAACTTCAGCAGAAGCGACGGTGGCTGGTAAGGGTCACCGCGCCTAAACCGCGGCCACAGTAAACCCACCGAGATAATTTAGTTTTTTTAAAACTGGACGGTTATTTTTATTGTCAACTTTTTTTACCGGGGTTTACTGCTATACCGGTTACCATGACAACCCTAATCAGTATCCTCTTACAAATGTCATATTTCCCAGTTTTTGGGAAAAATCTGAAATGTTTTATTGTCCCAAAAGCTGGGAAATTTGTTTGCTGCAGCAGAAGTGTAACAAGTAAAATGGAATCAGATTGATGTATGCACAAATTTACTTGAAATACACATTTACATGATTAAATATGTATAACAGGTATATGTGTTGAAATTAGTTTTTACAGTTATTGCACATTAAACAATGTACATGTTATTAAACAAATGTCCCGGTCTGTGGGACAACCAAGGATTTCTGATTCTGATTGTCTTGTTTACAGAAATGTAATGTACAGCTTACCTCTGCACCCAGCTGTTGTTCTCCCTGTCCAAACGTCCTCCGTTTCTTTGTTGGCTGCTGCACTGATGCGCTGCATTCCTCAGTCAGAGAATGAATGGAGTCCCCAATGAGACACAAGTTCCACATCCACCTTCTGTGGATCCCAGCCGTTTTGAATAACAACCACAGAAAGCAAAATAACGCATTAGCGTGATTGCATCCAGCTAGCCACTGCTTCCTGGTTTACCAATTTTGGGAGAAGCGTCGTGTGTACAGTTTACCTCTCTCCTCCTCCTGCTGGCTTATCTTTACGTTGGGCTGATCTGGTCCAAGCTCTTTGACATCAAGTTTTTCCACCATAGTTCTCCTCTCGAACGGATACTGGAGAAGAGACCGAACTGAATTCAGTGGCTGCTGAGATCCGATATCCTGGTTGTAGGCTCACTGGCATCCATGTCTGCGTCTGCTCCATGTGCGTCACAAGTCACGACCAAAAACGTGCTGGAGTCGAGACTCTCAGAGTTCTACCGAACACCAACGAAAGCCTTTGCGGTAGCTCTATCGCCCATCATGCTTCTGAAACAACGTCAACGCTGATTGGATACATTCCCATTCCTACCCTTTGATTTTCTTGTCAGCAATTGGACAGCTGGTCTCGTCCTGTTTGGGCGATTGAAAAACAGCACACAGCCTCCACCGCTTGGCAGTGACCTATATATATATATTAGGGCCGGGACTTTAACGCGTTAATTACGATTAATTAATTAGAAAAAAATAACGCGTTAAAAAAATTTACGCATTTGATCGCAGCTTGCATTTCAAGCATGGCGGAACCTTTGTCATTGCACGTTTTCCTCGTAGACCGAATATCACTGACGCACACAACAATGCACAGTGGCTAATGGCTACTAAAACGAAATAAAAACAGAAAGAAGTTGCCTTGCTTGGACTGATGCAGGATTTAGGAAACTCAACCGCCTCTTTTCTTAACTTGGAAAATAAAAACTTCCAGACAACAACGGAGTCCGTGTCGCGGACATTTTTCAGAGATCATCTCTGCTGCGGCTGCCCGCCCGGTGGCACCGGAAACTTTACAAAAGTTGCGGTAAGCTATATTTTTAACATTTACGTAACATCTGTGCAGCGCTGAAAGCACCAGACAATAATTCTGTGGCCTAACAGTAGTTTATGAAAGTAGGCAGATAAACGAGAGGCACCTGGCTGCCGCTGGGAGAACGCTCCGTGTTCTCACTACTCTAAACAATCACAAACAACGTGTCTTAAAGTTGAAAACAGAAGTTTAAGTTAAAACAGAAATACTCTGAAACTTTTCTGATGATTTTCTAAACAATTCCGTAGGGGAATTATACGTTTCTGAGACGAGTCGCTGTCTAAACATCACATGCATTACTATCAGGGGCAGCGAGGAACGAGGAAGTTGTGATCAGGCTGGAGATCACACCAGATTCGCTGCTGCAGGCGTGAATCTGCGGGTCGGCAGCATCCCCTTATTAACGTGACAGCAGAACTTCCCATGTAAGGAAGGTCCGCTCACCTGTTCGTCAGATCATTATTTCCTCGCCGTGATCTTTTATCATCCCATCAACCTCCAGTCATCCAACTGGAACCATTTAGTGTTCCTGATCATTCTCAGAATATGCCACGCCTGCTCTGGTGTTAAAAGTTAGTACATTTAAGTACTAGATCATATCTGTGCCTGTTCTACTGTCATTTTGAAGGATTATTTATGTGTTTTTACTACATTATGAGCAGAAATGCTAATAAAATCTCCCAATTATACAAACAAGTGAAACTGGAAAAATTAGAATCTGGTGCAAAGTCAAATTTATTTCAGTCATTCAACTAGACAGAGAGACTATTTAAAGGCTCAGGAACCATTTGCAGGTGTTTTCTATTTGTAATTATAAATTTTAGTTGATTTGGGTTTTGTTTCATATCACACAGTGACATGTGAATAACTAAAATGCATTTTTTTATTAAAAGCTTTAGTTTACAGTAATAACCATGTCTAATGTTTGATTCTCTGTCTCATAATTTTAATTAAAAGTTTTACTTTGAGAGCGCATTTTCCTGAACGATTAAAATGCGATTAATCGAGATTACAAAGCCTGTAATTAATTAGATTAATTTTTTTAATCAAGTCCCAGCCCTAATATATATATATATATATATATATATATATGATTTATTTTTGTTACAAAACACACAATTAACTTAGAATATGTGATTGTTAATTTTATTTTTTTTTTTAAATAAAAATTAAAAACAGTGGGGAAACTGGGAGGGCGGCGCCCTATCGCCCTCTACTGGCCAGCCACCACTGATCATGACACCTCCCTCTGTTGGGCCTAGATGGGTACCTTTTGACATTTGAATCGATACAGCACAAATTCCCAGAACCTAAAAATCGATACCGGTACCACTTCGATACT